CGTCTGCCGAACGTCTAGTGAACGTCTGCCGAGCCAAAGAGCGTCTGCCGAACGTCTAGTGAACGTCTGCCGAGCCAAAGAGCGTCTGCCGAACGTCTAGTGAACGTCTGCCGAGCCAAAGAGCGTCTGCCGAACGTCTAGTGAACGTCTGCCGAGCCAAAGAGCGTCTGCCGAACTAAAGAACGTATGTTAGTAAAGTCGTACATGTAGACTCGTCCTCTCATCGGACTCATTCAGCTCTCATGTGAACTCTTAATTGGTAGTCTACGTCACCTTTACCACACCGCATCTTCCTCCAGGTATAACTCCTCTCTTTGGTTCCTCAGACTCTGGACCCGTACGACCGGCCCTGGGCTTCCACTCCCACCAAAATCAGCAAGAACCTGCTGTCGGAAGAGAAGCTGACGAAACCCGCCAAAGGTAGGCATCAATGCACATCCATCACTTTCCTAAAAGTCCTCTCGACGCTGCTTTGTGTCCCGATGATGCCGATGTTCGAGCCCCTGAATGTTGTTAGCCGTCTTTTGCTTCCAGGTGGATCTCTGCTGCAGTTTCTGTGTCTCTTAATGAAAACAGTGCTAACCAAAGAGACAAAAGACTCACGGAGCTACAGAGGAGACGTCTGTGATGTCAGTTCATTAGTGTTTCATGTGTCCAGTGAAGGCTGCTGTAAAACGTAACGTTCTGCAGTAACTTCTGGCAAGGTGCTGCTCATTCCCTCAAACAACCGTCCTTATTTGATCTGTACACCGTCTCCACGTGTTCTGTAATCACATGTCACCTCTCTGACAGGATCTGGCACACGTCCGACCAGGTAAAACACGATTGACGTTGGCTTTATGGCCGCTGTGTGTTTTAAAAAAACGGGCTGCGTGTGTTTTTGCTTCAGGTTCAGAGTTCCTGCTGCCCGTCAGAGGATTCTTCTGCCTGCTATGCAAACAGTTTTATGGAGACGCCATCTGTGCAGAAGAGCACGTCACCACTCACGCCCACAACGAGAAATACAAGGTATTTAAGCCCCGTCACCTGTTTTGCTCTGCAAGAACTCATGGAATGTCTGGTGTGTCGGGACGCGTACCGTTTAGTGTTTTGTTGATAATTAAGAAAATAATCCACATTTCTTTATTATTCTTGTCTGTAAACTTCTTGAGCAGCGATACAAGAGTTTTTAAATCTTTAAAATATATTCTCAGCTCAACAATGATCTCAGTGATTATCTTTCATTGATTATCCTGTTCTTCTGATCAAACTCTATATGACATCACTAACGACAGCTGCTCCACAAACAGATTAATGTTCTACTTGTTGGTTCAGATGTTTAAGAGTAAAGCACAACTCAGAGTACCGATAGCAGAACCACTAACTCCGAACCGCATCAATGGTCCAAGTTTCTTTACACATTTAGAACCGGCCCCTGTTTAGAACCCGGTTTCGGGGGGCGTCACCACTGGTGTGTCCATTGTCTCTGGTTCTGCCTTTGATTCCTGGAATAATAATAATTAAAGCTGCAAGCAGCGATGTACGGGCCCTCGCACCTTCCCGCGTCTCGGTGGTACTGGCGGGATACCGGAAGAAGCGGCCATAAATATCTGCAACATCAGACAGCGTGCCCACAAGTTAGACGTATTTTTAATGCTTGGACTATGTGACGCTGGAAATTATGAAGTGCAAATATTCCACCAGTTCCTGTATCCACTTTGTGGCACCAGAGAACACGCGCAAACATGCATTATGTTGCTCTATATCAAGTATAGACCACATCATGTAAATGCCATGTAAGTCGGATTCAGTTTGTCACAAAACGCTGTCTTCCTGTTGCCAGTAGGTGGCGCTATGACTTTGAGTGAAAATTGGCTTGTAGACATCCTCAGGCCATGAGTGTTATCAAGTTTGGGACAGATTTGAGCAAGTCCAGTGGAGTTACATCAGCTTGTTGTTTAATGGCGAATCACGTACAATGGCCGCCACGCCACGGCTACACCATTCCATCAAATGTAAAGCTTTGAGTATCTTTTAATTGCAACGGTCTTTGGATTATACTGACCAAATTTGAAAAGGATCTGACAAAGTCCCTAGGAGGAGTTCGTTAAAGCAGAGGTCTTCTACAGGGGGTCCGGGACCCCTAGAAGGTCCGCGGAGGTACTGCAGGGGGTCCTCGAAATCTTTGGTTGATTGGAAAATAAATAAATAAATAATATTCTAAACATGAATCTGTCCATTATTTTAGTAGTTCAGTATTGTATGCAAGATAACGGGTATCTTTATGCATGGCAGTGGCACTAATAGGCCATCACTCATTTTAGTTTCCACATTTACGTTTAAAATGAAAACATCAATTTGAATAGCTAGTATGCATGATTATCATGCAATTAACAGACAATGTTGGTATTGGCATTGTTATCAGCTGACAAGGTATGTTTAGGAGATCTAGGATGGCGCCGCGGATGGCTGCCTCGGTGTGTTGGTGGTCATTGTTTTGTGTTGTTTTTGTTGTAAATACTGTTTTATGCTGCGATACCCGAAGCTCTTTCACCAGAGACGAGCTCATAAACATCAGGGGAACAACTTCAGCGGACTTACTCACTGTTGATTGTTGTTCAATGTTATTGTCTAATGTTATGCACCACCTGCCATGACAAATTCTTTGTATGTTACATACATTGGCAATAAACGATTCTGATTCTAAATGGTAGCGGCACGGCCTCCCTACTCACTGTACCTTGCACATGTTTAAAATAAAAACATGAATATATGAACCTGTGTATTATTTGAATAGCTTGGTATTGAATGCACAATAAAGAGGTATGTTTATACATGGCACGAGGCCCAATTTAATATAAAACACAATTTTATACAATATATATAGTCGGGGATCCCTGCTCCATCTCTCTATCTGTTTGGGGGTCCTTGGCCTAAAAAACGTTGAAGACCCCTGCGTTAAAGTATAGGGACTAGAAATCAAGGGAAAATTCACACAAAAATGAAAATGGCCGACTTCCTGTTAATTTTAGAGCATTGTCACAAGACACTTTTTTAAGTCTTCATGTGATACATGTTCCTACCAAATTTCATACATGTAGGTCAAACGTAGCGCTGGGGCTGCGTTTTGTGGAGTTACATCAGCTTGTTGTAATCACGTAATGTGGCCGCTACGCCATTCCATCAAACATAAAGCTTTGAGTATCTTTTAATTGCAAAGTTCTTTGGATTATACTGACCAAATTTCATTCGAGAGAAAAATAATAATTCCTACAGTTTCAATAGGGACCTCGCGGCCCGACGTTGTCTGTGCTCGGGCCCTAATAATGTGCCCAACAGAACAGACCATAACTAGAAAGGCTCTGCTGAATCCACCCCGTGATTCGGAAGTGTTTCGGGTTCTTCGTCAAGTTCCATGAACATAAAACCAAACCTGCAACCAAGAACAATGTTTGTTTGTCACCTTATTAAATGATGTGTATGCAAAATGTTGTAGTTTGTAAAAAGTCCCAGTGGAACCGAGAACCAGAACCCTCCAGGTTTGGTGGATGGTGGGTGTTCATGAAGTGAAATCAGTCCCATGTTTCCAGGCTCTATTTTATTTTCAAAAAGTATTTCAGTTATCATTTGATGTTCTGGTTCAGAAGTATTTTCTCACTCTCTTGTCTTTCTGTTTCAACGCCTCCTTCCCCAGAAACAAATGTACCAGAACCCTTTGTATGAACAGAGGAGGAACCTGGACCGGCAGGCCGGACTGGCCTCCGAGACCAGCGGGAAGAAACGCAAACATGAGGACGAAGACAAGAGCAACAAGGACGAAAAGTCCAAACACAAAAAGGAGAAAAAGGACAAGGAGAAAAAGAAGGAAGAGTCCGACGCTGTTCAGAAGGAGGGGAAAATTAAAAAGGAGGATGCGGAGGCAAAGCCGAGCAAGAAAGAGGAGGAATTTAAGAATGCCAAAAGCCTGGAAGAGGAGAGGCCTTCGTACAGCAATAAAGATGAGGATGAAAAGTTTAAAAGCAGCAAGAAGGATGATAAATATCGCTCCAGCAGAGAGGAAGAGGAGAGGGGTAAACGCAGCAGGAAGGACGACGACGATCGATACAAATACAGAGAAGAGGAATGTCAGTACCGGTATCGCAGGGAGGAAGAGGACCGATATGACAACCGTCCCAAATACAGGCCGAGAGATGCCGAGTATAAATACGATCTGTATTCAGATTTCAGATCCAAACATGACGAAGGGAAACTTAAGGCTGAGAAGGAAGCTTTTAAAAAGCTTGAGCCAGGAAAACCACCTGGGAAACCAGATACCAACAAGCCTGAACCTCCGCCGAAGCCCTTCGACCCGCCCAAAATCCTCTGTGGACCCAGTCCGGCCATGAGGGCAAAACTCCGCAAGCAGAGTCTGGAAACTGGCAAACCACCACCACCGCCTCCGGCTGCGACCGTGACTCCTACCTTTGGGAAGTTCACATGGAAGAAGAAAGAGAGTATTCTGGCGAAGGAGGCAGAGAAAGTTGCCGCAGAGTTCATCAAAGAAGACGAAGCGGCTGCAAAGCAGAACCCGGTCTCGGCGGAGGATTCTTTTGCTAAATCTATGGCCGTTGCCAAGGAGATCGCCCACAAGCTCGGGGGCCAGAACACCACGCCTCCTTGGGTGTACAACCGGGCCACCCGGGGAAGGATCCGGCCTAACCTCCCTGCACCTGCTGCAGTCTTAAGGAAAACCGCCATGATGGGTAAACCTGCCCCTCTGAATACCTTCCTCTCCATTAAACCCCAAAACACAGGATTGCTAGGACCTGCTCCGAAAGAACCACCCTTATTCTCTGACAGTCTCACCAGGGCTCTCAATGCCCAGAATACACTGCTGGAAGATAAACCTCAGCCACCAAGTGGTCCTCCTGGGACATTCGAGGCAATGCCTCCACCACCGGTGTCAAGACCTGCACCATTGGAGGCTAAAGCTCCGCCTCCGGTGTCAAGACCTGCACCATTGGAGGCTAAACCTGCGCCACCGGTTTCTAAACCTGCGCCGCCGGTTTCTAAACCTGCGCCAATCGAGGCAAAGCCTGCACAACCAACAATGATAAAGATTGTGTCCGACGTGGCAGCTCCTGGCGTCCCAGAGGGCGAGCAAACTCGCACAGTTTTTGTCAAGCCTCCACCTTTCATGAACATAGGCGATGGACCTCATAAGTCTGACAAACTTAAGAGTAACCTGGCTGCAGCTAAAGCCCAGGAATTATTCAACATCTTCTACAGCAGGTTTGACCAATCGGGCACCTCCTCCATCACCAAACCAGCGACAGACGCCAGCGCTGATGGGAGAAGTGCCAATAAAAGTCAGCTTCCTACCACGCAACCACCACAACCTCAGCTTCTAACTCAGTCCCAACCTCCATCTGAGGTCTGCAAATCTCCACAATCAGGCTCACCAAGTCCCCAAACTCGGCCAGAATCACTCATTCAAATTGAATCCGTTTGGTCTTTGCAGCCTTCCCCAACTCCACCACCTGAGGTGGCTCCGTCTGAAACCCAGCCAAGACTGAAGCCACCAGCCCAGTCTGAGGCTCAGAGTGCACCCCAAAACCAGTCCTTGACTCCTAACGCTCAGTCCCAAACCAAGCCTGCTGAGTTGGAACCAACACCTCAAACGCAGTCCCGCCCCAAACTGGCCCCTCAAATCCACACAGACCCCCAACCAGACCAGAACAGCCAGTCCCTGCTTCATCTAGAGACCCTTCCTGAAACTGCTCCAGAACCTGCTCCCAAGCCAGGCCCCAAAACTAGAGGCAAGGCGACTCCGACAAAGAGAACCCCTCCTGCCCCCCGCCCTGTCCGGCAAACTAGATCTCAAACCAGATACCAGACCCGCCAGCAGCAGAGCCAGTCCGAGCCTGAGCCGGCTTCAGGAGATTCTGACTCGGCAGCTTCGGACCCAAAGGGGCTGGACTCGGCCGATCCCGGTTCAGGGTTGCTGCTGGAGGAGGGGACGCCCAGCGAGGAGGACCCTCCGCTGATGGAGATCACCCCCGAGACCCTGGGCCTCCCCGCAGACATGACCTCTCTGGACTTTGATTACAATTTTAACTTTGAGTAACAGCTGACCTTAAAACCAGGAAGTCTCTGATCAGTAATCGACTGGACTAGAAAGATGCTGACAGACTTTGAGACTTTTAAGACATTTAAGAAACCTTGTTGTTGTCTTCTCCAGAGTCCGGGACTCGTCTCTATAGAGTCCCAGACCCTAGAGACGTCCGGATCTCTAGACCTGGAATCTTTTATTAAAAACAAGAAGTCCCCTAAAGACACAAACATCAAAATCCATTTACTAAAAAGAGTTCTACGCTTCTTAACACGGTTCAGGCTGAGAACATTTCAGGGCTGGAGGACGATTAACGGGACAAGAAAGCTGAAAAATGAGCAGAGTTAGATTTATTTTTTCAGCCGTCCCTATAATCTTTCTTGTATATTACTGGATGATATTTTTAGTTTGCGACCCACAGAAAACAAAAAACACACCACAGCAAAGCACATGTTCGGTCACCAATGTTTCGGGGTTTTGACCAAACTGATATCTGACCCAACTGTGGGGATCAAATGTGAACGTGTCCTCATGTCTCCTCCTGCAGGTAAAGTACCACTCCTGTTTTTCTTGTTTATTTCTCATCTTATTAAAACCAGTTGGACCTAAAAGCAGCTCAGTTGTTGGTTCTCGTGTTAAACTGAAGATCCAGGATCTGATTGCCGTAGAAGTGCAGCAGGTTTGTGTTGGACCTCACTGATCTGAGGTCAGTGGTGATGTGAGAGAAAACAAACTCGTCTCAATGAATCTGTTGTAGTTTCAATAAAAGTTAAACATCAGCAGCTCTGTGTCCTGATTATCCACTGTTAACATAATGTACTTTATCATACTCTGAGGTACTTGGAGTTCCTACTTCATTACATTACTTTTTACTGTACCACATTTATTTATCTGAGTATTATATGTATATATGTATGTATATGTATATATACACATATATATACACATATGTATACATACACACGTGTGTATGTATATATATACACATATGTATACATACACACGTGTGTATGTATATATACACATGTATATATACACATATGTATACATACACACGTGTGTATGTATATATACACATATGTATACATACACACGTGTGTATGTATATATACACATATGTATACATACACACGTGTGTATGTATATATATACACATGTATACATACACACTTGTGTATGTATATGTGTATATGTATGTATGTATATGTATGTATATGTATATATATGTGTATGTATATGTATGTATATGTATATATATGTGTATGTATATGTATGTATATGTATATATATATGTGTATGTATGTATATGTATATATATATGTATATGTATATATATATGT